GAGTTCAAGGTAATATATATATAACATTCCCTCCTCTAATTTTCCTCCATAGCAACAATCCTATGAAGTAGATAATAGAAAAGGTAGCCAGTTTTTGGTGGTTTTTTTTTTTTTAATGGGCTATGGGAATTAGGGTGGAATTTGTATCATCCTCATTCTGGGTTTGGAATACCAAATATATTTTGATGTTTTTCTCCAACAATCCACACCATGTAATGGCAAATCACCCCCCCCAAAAAGTGTCCTGAAAGTCGGGAAATGATTAGGGGTGTCTCAATTATGAAAAAGAAGAGTTCTCTTTCTGATTTTTCTCTGATGTCTAATTTTCATGCACTCCTTGATGAGAGAGGAACTTCCACCCAAGAGCTGAAACTAGTGGCAAGGATCTATGGAGAGCAGGAGAAAGAAGTTCTAATCTGTATGCAGGATTCAGAGCTTACAACAAATTAAAATTGTTTCTCTTACTAAATTTAGTGAGCATGCCCAGATGGTCAGAGTTTGCCTTTAGAACATTTTTTCTCCAACTCTGCATCATCACATCAGTACTGTACAATATGTGTAGGTGGCTGAGAGGAAGACTGTATGTGTACGTATGTATATAAGGGAGGTGAATTGTTTGGCCAGGACATGGGAAACATGATGTTGTGAACATTTTTTTTAATCTCCTAAAAACAGAAACCCAATCTGATATCTTTGCTAACCACATATTGGAAGAAGGCAATCAGCATCATCAGGGAGAGCAGAAATGTAGAGGCCTTTTGAACAGTGAAGGTGTCTCCCAACATCCATTAAGCACAGAAATATAATCTGCTCAAATATCCTGCCCTGAATAGTTCTGTAGGCTGCTATCCGCCTCACTCTGCAATCAATAGCACTCACATTGATTTTTCCAGGGTGCTGTATTCCAGTAAAATGCACACGTGCGTAGAAGAGTAAGCCATTTCCCGCTTAAATGTCTATTTGCTGATACCATGCAAAAATGCAGAGGAAACCAAAATACACCAGAAGGAGTTTGGAGAGGGAGAAAAAAAATGAATTTGTGAGATATCAGTCATACTTTGGCATGCTATTGATGCCTTATTGCAATTTCCAATACAGGAAGGAACTCTCTCTAAATTTAGACAACTCCTCAGTTCCATTAGGCAATCAATCAATCAATCAATCAATCAATCAATCAATCAGTCAGTCATAGAGGGCTAAACAACCACAACAACAAAATCAGTTCTATGCCATATATGGAGAGAGTAGAGATGTTGCTTCCTTAGTAGTTCAACAGATTGAAGGATATGCTGAGTTTCTTATACCAGCTTAGCAGGCCAGACAATATAATATGGCACCATTTATCCTTTCTGCTTAAAATATTCTGTTTTAAGGCTGGGAAAGAGATATGGGTGTTAACACTGTTTTAAGATTTTATGTGTATGTTAGGTTCAATTCAACATTCATTGGCTTTGCTTGGGCATTCCGTCTATCATCCAGCAAAGATGATTTGAATGCATTAGCTAGTTTTGGTGCACAGATCAAAACTTGCTGATCAAAGCCAGCCTGCCCTGGGGGTTGAATTCAAATTCAAGAAAAGGGAGGTCCCCATAGGTGATGCAAGGTAGTCATTATCACTCTATCAGCATCCAGCTGAGACACATTCACTCAAAGAGTAAAGTGAGAATGAGTTATCCAGATACAGGTTCCAGTTCCTGATCTTATCCACAGGTGACAAAACAAACTACAACACATATAACGTATGATTGACGCAGCAAGTAGACATGTTAACATCCTGAGAGCTTGGTGGGTTCTTAAAGAAAGTCCTGCTGAGGAGTTCTCCTGGTTCACATCATGGCTACCACTGTGGTCATGGCCAGCCACAAAATTAGAAAACAAACTGGCGAGGTTTCTCTTCATCCATTCTACAGCACCCCCATCCCCAGAAGCTCATTGCCAACTTCCCAACTTCTCTTGGGCCTTTTTTTTCCCCCTGGATGGGCAGGCAGGCATAGATGCAAGCAAAGGACTGGGCTGAAGCCAATCATGTTTATTTTCTAAAGGAGCTCTAGGTCTATATAGAATCTAAGAACATTATTGGAAACAAAAATGAGCATGAGGGCATACTCCTTTTTAATTTTGTTTAAAATAAAAACAATGTTTACAAAATATAAAAAGGAGCCCAGAGTACCAAGGTTTGTGTGCAAGGAACATTAGGGCTCTTGGTTGCTATTCTTAATAGTAATAGCATCAAGATGTTTTTCTTCTTTTTCTTCCGGTCAGTTCAAATACATGAATGAAAGTTATTTCTCTAAATCTGAGGTAGGTAATTTCTAAAGGATTGGGGGCAATTCATTCTCCAGACTTCCTAGGAGGGATGTAGGAGTGATGTGGCTAGGAGGGATGTAATGCAGTGATGTGGCTGAAATTGGTCCTTTTTAAGTCTTTTTTTCCTGCCTTCCAAAGATGTCCCACTACCAATTCCACTATGAAATCCCCTACTCCAAACCCCAAAGTGGTCTCTTTTTCAATCAGTATTTTGCGTTTGGGCAACTTAAGTGTGGGAATGGAAATAGGAGGCTTTGGGGCCAAACTATTACTTTTCCCACCCTTAATGACCCCCCCAAACCCTCCCCCCCAAACCCCAAGTAGTTTGAAATCATGTTACTGAATCTTTTTTCATGTTGATACTGACTTTTGGCAAGGTAATCTCGGTGCTGTGGGGTGAAAATGGGTTGCTGAGGTCATCTGGGATCCACAAGAGATGGGTTGCCTGCTTCTGCTCTAAAGACTCCTATTGTTTTTCATTAAGCTAACACAACTAAAGAGTTTGAAATCATATCCCCCAAATATTAACTAAGTAGGGTGTTAAATACCTAAGGCTCCAACCCTATAGTCTGTAAGGAGGTCTGATGGCATTCTCTTGCCCCATGGGCAGAAAATCAAGGGTGAATCTGACATCAGGTGTTCCCCCCAGTCCCAGGCTCCAGGGAGGCCAGTTTGTTTCTGATTTTGGAGAAAGAGGAAGAGAGGTTTGCTGGGGATAAGCTGAGCAGCACACTGGGAGTGGCTCTGGACACACAGAGTCCACAATCCTTGTCTTCCCAAGACTGGCCCCTAAACTGTAAAAAAAAAAAAGGGGGGGGGACCCTATCTTTCTTCCTATTAGTTTGGTGAAAAGAAATGCATTGAAAGAAAAATTAAACACCGATCCTTGCTTTGGAATTGATGGCAGAAACTGGTTCTGGGTTTCAGATACCTTGGAGGCTCTGATGACAGAACTAAGGGAGTCTTGTCAATCAAGCATGGCCAGTGAAGAAAGCCAGTGTGGTCTAGTGGTTAAGGCACTGGTTCCTTCTGCCTTCAGCAAGGGAAGATTACTGAGTGACTTTGGATAAATCATGCTGTGTCTGCCAACCCAACTTACAGGGCTGTAAGGGAAATGTTGGAGGATGAACTGCTCAGTATACTTCCTGAAGCTCCTGGAGGATGTAAATCTAGCAAAATAAATAAATCCCTGGCATATACAAAAGCTTGCTTTGCACACTGTTAGAGCAGTTGGATAGTGTGTGCAGCTTGGAGAAAGGGGACTGAAGGCAGCCTCTCCATTCTTCCATGAACAATATTAGCATTAGCCAGAGTGATTGTTTCAACCAGCTGGAAAGTTGCCAAGGGAACAGGGCACTCCTATGCTCAGGAATGCTTGATCAATCTCAAAGATGTTTGGATCGGTACTAAAAGATCCACCTCCGCTCCTGTGTGGCAAATCTTGGGCTCAACTTACCAGATAGTGCTTTTGTGCACCTGACTTTATTTAGGGGATTTATGTTATATCTGAAGATTAAAGAAGACTACAGTAAATAATAGCATTTCCACTTTATAGGTATGGTACATATATAAACTCATTTTGTGGAATGTGTAGCCCTTGCTTTGATTTTTTAGGTGCATAATATAGCATCTCTGCAATAATCAAGACCAAAACTAGAGAAGTATCATGGTCCTCAATCAAGTCCATTGATTGTACCAGAAATAAAATGAATCAGAATCTATAGTTAAAGAGATTAGGAATGAGTATCTGAGGAAATTCAGCACAGTTAAGAACCACTATTTGGGAGTAATAAAATATAACAATCTCCTCTAATGCTAAAAGCTAATGTTTTGCCTTGAGCCATGCTAGCTTCCCATATTTTTTTTAAATTAAAGAAAGATTTAAAATATAAAGGCAGATAGAACAAGGAACATGACAGACACCAAGGGAGATTTATGCAGGAGTATTATTGCCCTCCTCTGAAAAAGTGGTATCTATCATTGTGAGATAGGTCATAGTTATTTTATTAGAAACTGTTTAAAAAAAATTATGCCTGTCTCCTGAAATCTGACAAGGTAAAAGACAGATCCCTTCTATCAGACAATGCCATCTAAGAGGACCCAGGAAGAGTGACTTCTCTGTTGCAGCCCCTATGGAACAGCAATCTCCCCACCCCACCCTGAGTTCAGATGCCCCAACTCTGCTAGCCTTTCATAAGGCATTGAAGACCTGGTTCTTCCCCCAAGCAATAGGCCAGGATGATTGCAGAGCCCGTCGTTGGTGATGTATGGTTTCTATATCACTCTGGGTATGATCTGTGGTTTTAATTTTTTAAACAATTATTTATTATTGGATTAATAAATAATTAATTAATGGATTGCTAGCCACCCAGAGTTGTCTGGCAAGTGGACAGCCCTATAAGTTAAATAAAGAAATAAATATGGAAATAAGATTATTGCTAGGAAAGGAATGAGGGAGGAGCCCATCCTTCACCTGTACCAGAAAGGCCTAATTTTTTTCCTAGCCTTTCTGCATTCCCTTCCTTTCAATCCATCTCTGGAGACCAGCATCATAGACAGGTGGCTCTTTTCCCTCCATATGATTATGAAGTTCTCAGGTAATGACAGACCAGCAGAGAGTTGGTGACATGCCACACTCAGCAGGGATGAACCAAGAGGCGTTTGCATAAGAAGAAACAGTACCTGGACAGTACCTTTCATGGCAGGCGCAGTATAGACACTCTGCTTCCTCTGTTTGGGGGAGGCGTTCTGTGACTGTCAATAAAAAGAATGACCTTTTAGCACAATCAAGAGCTAAGCGAGGCATCACACACCAGACTACAGAGATGGGCTTCTGTAGGTCCTTTTCTCAACACAGGCCCATACTCTTGGGTTTGGTCTTGAGGCATCATCTTGGTCTGCTCTGCTGCAGTGGTTGCACTGCAGTATTTTCTTTCTTATGCTGCTGTGGTGCCCGCGCTGTGGAATCTTCTCTCCCTTGAAGTGAGGCTGACCTCATCATTGTTGAGCTTCTGGAGGTCCCTCAAGACCTGGTTATGCCAGCAGGCCTGGGGACCCCAGGGGATGGGGGAATTAGTGAGATGGCTCCCTTATTTTTAACATCCTTTTGATGGGGGAATTAGTGAGATGGCTCCCTTATTTTTAACATCCTTTTGATGGGGGAATTAGTGAGATGGCTCCCTTATTTTTAACATCCTTTTGATGGGGGAATTAGTGAGATGGCTCCCTTATTTTTAACATCCTTTTGATGGGGGAATTAGTGAGATGGCTCCCTTATTTTTAACATCCTTTTATTCTCTATTCTATTTTTATATGTTTAATGTATTTATGGACTGCTTTTAGCTTTGTGGTACGCAGCCCAGAGTCACCTGTGGTGAGATGGGCAGCTATATAAATTGGTTTAATAAATTTTTAAAAAAATCTGTTCCTTATTTGACTTTGAGAAATTTCAAAATTGATATAAATATTTTAGGGGAAGGCCACATCCTTTATTTCCTTTTATTTTAGTACACAATCCGATTGCAAAAAATCAGAAGGAAGTTGGTAGCATCTTTTCCAACTAACAAATTTTATTAAAAGGCATCAGCTTTCATGAGCTCACGCTTCATCAGATGCCATCAGGGACTAACATAGCCCTCCTCCTACAGTGTCTACCAACTGATTGCACCGTTCTTTTTTTGTTTCTTCTTTGAAAGCTTTGTTCCCAAAAGCTGGAAGTTAGCACCAGATTTTTAAAGCTGCTCAACTAGGCAGCCCAACTATAATTGTAAACAAATAAATAAATAAAACACCACTGAGTTCAGCTAATGGCACTTCAGCGTTATGAAATAATAACTGTTCATATTACTTCTTTAGAGAATCTCAACTTAAAACACCATATCCCATTTCCAAAGAGAGTTGAGGCTGTTATATATTCACCAAGTATATTTTGAGGATACCTGTTCTAATCAGTGAAGATTCAGCCGCTCTATAACCTGGCCTGTGAAATTTAAAGTGGCTCATAACATTTTATGTTAATGGATGGAAAGATGCTTTTTATGAATAAATGATTGGATGCAGTCAGAGAGTGCTAATTATATTTATTGCATGATGGGATGTTGATTGTCATCACTGAATGCTTTTAAATGTTTGGACCTAAATCTGGAAAAAAAAATCAATAATGTATCTTGCTATTAAAAGCAATGCTGGCCCGTCTCAACTTTCAGTAAAAATTAAATTGGTCTGGAACATATCATATAGAGCACAGAAAGTTGGGTGAAACCCACTTCAGAGATGACATTATGTTGTCTGGATAATTCTCTTTATTCCTTCTATTTTCTATAATTTCTTCAATTTTTAAAATTCAGAGACAAGCCTGGATTCTTATATGATTAAAACAGCATCACTGATACACAAAAGGAAGACGTTAGTCGTCTTGGGGGAAGGTTTGTAATTTAAGAAGTACATTAAACAAAGGTGGATGTTATCCAAAACTGTATAGTGAGGATTACACATAAAGTACTGATTGATGGGGGAAGGAGAAAACACAGGAATGGCATGGAGTATCTTGGAAAGAGGGCATGGTTGGCTAGAAAATGGAATATGCCAGTGCAATATTTTTGTAGCCTCCATCTCTTTACAGAATAATAATAATAATAATAATAATAATAATAATAATAATTTATTACATTTATTACATGATTTAATTCTCAGCATATACATTTCACATGAAGTAAATCTTTTTAGTAATTAGTGGAAGGATACAGCCTTTCAGGTATTAAAAAATGTTTTTCATATCTAACTGCTTGGAGATCTTTTTTTTTTCCCGAATTAATTTTGAAGTCATGCTTCCAGGCAACCACTAGGTGCCAGCAAAGAGATATAGAAAAATCCAAATCTTTGCTGCGATCTAGTGGTTGTCTAGGATTTTGCAGCTCAGATTTGGTAATCCTAGTTTAGGTGTCAGAATGAGCCTATTCATGAGCCTCAGACCTATGCTCAATTCAAATATCTAGTTTGAGTGTGCAGAAGGCCCTCAGAATTTAAGCAAAGATGGAGCAGATTTTCCTGCCGTCCTCCCCAGCCTTCAAGGAAACTGATTAAGCCAGAGCCAAAGCAGACAGTCATGCAGAGACTCAGAGGGCAGCATTATCTTTAAAAAAAAAAATTAAGATCAGAAGGCTGACTTTACTCAATAAATGTCATTGCACTGTTGATGTCTTCTACCACCTGTATATCCCAAAAGACAATTTAAGAATTATTATCTCTGCTGCAGTACAAGAAGGAAAGAATTAAGATGTTTCTGAATGTTTGTCAGACAATGCAACAGCGGTTTATTTCTTAAACTGCAATTAACTTACTTCATCTTGGGAGTTGTTGTTCATTCTCTTCTCATCTATTTCTATGGGATAGGAAAACACAATTAGAAGAAGAACTATATAATAACATAAAGACAGCATAAGCTTACTCTGAAGTCAGTCTCTGGTGAATTCAGTAGATTTTACTTTCAGGGAAATATGTGCAGAATTACAACTCAAATAATGCAGCTGAAAGTCCAATCTAAGCAAGTGTGAAGTACTGTTCTATTCACACTTTCTTGGAAGCAATCCCTGCGTAGTAGCCTTTTCTGAGAAAATGTCCACCATATTATGTTGCAAGGGTACATTAAATTGATCCTCTCATTACACTATAATTCCTATGATGGGGTGGAGCATACCATTATTTTCAGGGTTCAACAGAAAGGGGAAAAGATTGAGTCCTGATATAAAATTTTGCAGCACATTATATTCTGATTATGAGCCCCAACATAAATTGGGGCTCATAATGCTTTGAAGAAACATTGTGCATGGTAGTATAAGTAGTTTTTTTCTTCCTTCTTCTATTATTAAGAAAAATCATCCCTCAGTTGGTAAAACACTGCTAGACACTCTATCAAGTAAGGGCACTGTAAAAATCTGAGTCTATGAAGATCTTAATTTCACTGTGGAAGCACTGAATGGAGATCAACACAATGTAATTCACAAAAAAAAAAAGTGTGACAGCTGTAAAATTCATATTCTTCTACCCACTTAGGAATAACGGTCATTCAGCTCAATTGGCTGTAAATTAAAAATCTATCTTGATTTCCAACCACATTTTGATTCCATTAATTTCATAAGCCTATGTCTGTTTCTAGCAAGTTCTTGTTCTTAATTCATCACTTGACTTATGAGACATTTCCTGCTCAACGCATTCTCAAGCTTTTGACTCTCCTTAACTATTTCTCCACAAGGCACCCTTTTACTGTGAGAAACTGTAAAGTGATTCAGAATTTCAATCCACATGTTTCTTCAGTCTGTCAAACATCTTTCACCCCCAAAACCAGTGATGTTTTATTTTTCAAAACAAGCAAGCAAGGAAACAATGTGTAGCTCATCAATGCACAGAAATAATTCATTATGGTTCATGAAAGTAACCCTCTATTTCTGCAGTGTGAATAAATATGTCAGATAGATGTCAGTTTATGCCGATGTTTCCATAAGAGATGAGTGCAAGATTAATTATTATTACCTGTGAAATTGAACTGGTTTTGGTATCTTTTTTTAAAAAATGGGTAAAACTAGCAAGTTATTTAAAGTGCAATTATGTGTTTCGGACATTCAAAGACAGACTGGATCTCCCCTGCTAATGGCAGAGAAAGAGAGATCTTAAAACCTCTGATGTCAGAGCTCTAGCGGAGAATGGGAAAAGGGGTGGGGTGATGGGTGAATAGGAGATGACTATGCAGCCATGGGATTTAAAAACTTCCTGATTCCAGCTCCTGGATCCCAGTTTCCAGATCCCAAATATCCTCAGTTTCACTCTTGCATAATAATTCACTTTTCATTTCTTGCAGTGAACGAAAATACTTGAAATGAAAATCAGTCTGGGGAAAGAAAAATTCCCCCCTTCAACTGCCAGTAAGGCCCAGAAGGGTCTTGGATTTCTCAGTGATTTTGTTGTTTTTCACATCTGCAGGTGGAATTGTCCTGTCATTCATCTCCTGTTGTGACTGGCAATTTATGTATTACCAAGCCCTTAAGGCAGAAGCTGTTTTTCAGATTTTATTTTGGTGCCTTTGAGTCAGTGTTGACTCCTGGTGACTGCCTGGAGTTCTCTTGGCAAGGTTTTTCGGAAGTGGTTGGTCACTGCCTCCTTCCCAGGGCTGAGAGAGAGGGGCTGTCCCAAGGTCACCAGCTGGCTTCTTGCCTGAGATGGGACTAGAACTCACAGTCTCCCAGTTTTTAGCCTGGTGCCTTAACCACTACACCAAACTGGCTATCTTCAGTTAATATAGGCATTTGCAACAGAATCTAACTTGAAAAATGTAAAGGATCAATTCTTGTTAGAAGGAAAAGGCATCTTATTTTGTTTGTGACTGCCAAAATACACCAGAGGCTGTCTAACCTTGACAAATAACACATATGCCAACTTTCAACCTTGGGCACCAATTAACCTGTTAAATTATCTCTCGAGCTGAGGCAGAGAGCCTTCCCACCCTTGCATCTAACCACAGCATGGACATCCCCTGGCAACATCTTTTTTTATGCCAGGTCCCCTCACTCCATTTTCATCTTGTCCTCAACCCTTCTGAGAAGCAGCTTCAAAGAATATTCTCTCTGAAGCAGTCAATAAGTTTTATCATGGGTGCAATGCAAGCACTTTGCCAGGGGCAGTCAGCTGACCCCTGGGGGGGGGATCAGTCTGGAGCCTATCAGCTCTTATACATTGGCATGGGTCTTCCAAGTCTAGTTCTCTTGCTCTCTTTTCCATAAGGTTTCAGTACAACCAAGGTCTCTGAACTGTTCTCCAGCTTGGAGACATGGCTGAGGTGACACACCCATACACACACCCACTCACAGTCTGGGAGAAGTGACAGAGGAAGGGGGAGGGGGGGATTGTGTAATTACCATGAAAACATACTACCAACAACCGCCAGCAACGAATAGGCAGTTCTATGATGCAGTATGGAACATGCCATTCCCTAATCCTCTCTACCAGTCTTTCTCAACCTTGGCGACTTGAAGATGTGCAGACTTCAGCTCCCATGGCTGGCTGGGGAATTCTGGGAGTTGAAGTCCACACATCTTCAAGTTGTCAAGGTTGAGAAACACTGCTCTACACATATGCACACTTCTATTCACAATTTCTCTTAACATACTAAAGCTTTCTAAGTTTGTTATTCAGTCTGCAGGACTAGTAACATCACTTCCTTAAAAAAACGTAAATCATTCTGCTTTCATAAACTTCCTGGCTGCAGGCTTTTAAAATGAGCATTTCCCAATGTCAGCTCTCATGTTTACAAGTGAGACCACTGTTTGCACATTTCACTAGCACACCTTTTTTTAGCTGCAGTTTTGGAGGCAAGTAAAGTCAAGCAGTTGTCTGCTTTGCTACATGGAGAAGTCACTCAGTTCAGAAAACACCTGCCAGTGGCCCCAAATCCACTTCGGCCTGTTCCACCCTGTCTTCCCCCCTCCCAAGCCTCCATTTTGAGGGACTTCAATTGCCCCTCTATGGCAGGAATGCTGCTGGCAACAGAGTTTTCTTTTCACCACACTTTGCTACTTTGGCGTGGTTGTTAAGGCACTGGGCTAGAAAGCAGGAGACCCGAGTTCTAGTCCCGTCTCAGGCACGAAGCCAGCTGGGGAACCTTGGGCCAGCCCCTCTCTCTCAGCCCTGGGAAGAAGCAGGCAAGGGCAAACCACTTCTGAAAAACCTTGCCAAGAAAACTTCAGGAAAACTGGCAGTCGCCAGGAGTCAAGACTGACTCGAAGGCACCCCCTTAAAAATTGCAGCTAATATCCTATACTTTCAGCAACATCTCTCAAATTATTCAATATGTCTCCTATCTTATTTTCAGGTAGGATCTTCTCTGTCTGAGCATATACCTCTGTAAATGTCTGTGTGGTAAAGTTCCTCATGAAAGAACAATATTCAGGTGCCACGCATCAGAGCCACCAGACCTGGACTGCAAAAAGCCAGACGGCCATGAGGTGGCAGCCATAGAGACAACGAGTGTCTCTCTGCTCGTTCAGATTTTGCACCCTAGATGCCCTAGTCCTATGTTCTCTGAAAAGCGATATATTTAATCATCATCATCATGGTGCTAACTTTGGGTTTCCACAGCATTTTGCAAACAGCTTTTAAATTATTCAGCAATCCTTTGGGAACAAGACTGGAATAAAAATATATTAAAAACCACAAATAGGTAGTTCTATAACTACCTCTTGTTTTCCTACCCACTCACTTTACTGTGTCTCACAAAGATGGAACGAATGCTTGGGTGCTAAATCCAAGCTAAAGTTTGCCATGTGTACCTCTCCTGAAATCATACAAGGCAGGCTTCTTCTGAAGAATCTAATCCAGTTTGTATCTAAAAATGTTTAGAGAAGAATTTGGCTGATTGTTGGTCTTTATCTTCAGGCATTCACTCTTTTTTTAAAACTTATTTTAAAAAAAACCTAATTAAAGGGAAATATAAATTAACAAGTGGGTAAGTATTAATGCTCCTGATAGGGATTGCTGTTGTTCTAGTTTTCATGGTGAAGGCATCTGGGAATAACATTGCTTAATGGATATTATCTTCTGCAAAGGCTTGTAAAGATAAAGAAATTATGTCAATTATAAAATGGCAAATAGAAGTTGTTCTGCTCTGAGGATTAATAAATCAGCCGCTAGCTAATTAAATTTAAGAAAGCCACTAAAGTGGGGGGAAAGGAAAAAATGATCTTGGAGATTAAGTTCTAGTGAGATGTGAGAACCAAAATGTTCCTTTCATGGAATGAATGTCTCCAAACTGCCACTGGCCTTCCATCCTTTCTAGCTTCAGTTTGGGATGTTAATTTCTATGAGAGCAAACAAGGGCTTCAGAATGACATTCCTTGACAAATTAAAGCTAGTCTTTCTGCAATTTCAAGGAAAGCAGTAAAATGTTTTTCTCTAACACGGCATCCAATAAAATCTAATCCAGCCTTCAGGGGACAATACTGTCACTGTAAGAACATAATTACAGTAAGTGATTTTCCTATTCAGATTGAGCAGAAGATAGATCGGATTTCTCAAGACATTTCTGGGTGAACTGTATTGCATTAGGAAGAGTTTCGGATTCTCAGTCATTTCTCAACAACAGAAAGAAAATTACTTTTCCTACTTAAAATGAGGTTGCTGGACTTAAGAAAGCTTGGAATCAGCAGAATTTAAAATGTGTGTGAAAGGATTGTAAGCTAATTTATTTATTTTTTGGTAGCTTTGAGTCAGTCTTGACTCCTGGTGACTGCCTGGACAAGTCCCTGCAGCTTTCTTGGCAAGATTTCAGAAGTGGCTTGCCCTTGCCTGCTTCCCAGGGCTGAATGAGAGCGACTGGCCCAAGGACACCCAGCT